TGCCATTAACTGTGTCCCTAAGGAGGATTTTGGAGGTCAACACCCAGATCCTAACCCCATATACGCTACAGATCTGGTTGACAGCATGCGAGACGGACAGTATGATTTTGGTGCAGCATTTGATGCCGATGGGGTGGGCTTACCGAGTTATTATTTCTGCTTTTTACTTGTTTGTTTGGTTTTTTTCAAACATTACAAGAATATATGTAATATAAAAATGCAGCTTCAAAAGACATTTCCTTGGGCCTGAGAAACCTCTTTCTGCTTTCTAGGACCAGAACACGATCCTTGGTAAACATGGCTTCTTCGTCACCCCATCTGACTCCGTGGCTGTGATTGCTGACAACATTTTTTGCATCCCGTACTTTCAGCATGCAGGGGTGAGAGGTTTTGCTCGTACTATGCCCACAAGTGCGGCATTAGACAGGTAAACGTGTGGCCTGCTTTTCAAATATCACCATCAAAACAAACTGCCTTAGAATACTCTTTCATTGTATTTCCTTCAGAGTAGCCAAGGCAACGAAAATCGAGCTATATGAAACTCCCACTGCCTGGAAGTTCTTTGGGAACCTCATGGATGCAGGCATGCTGTCTTTGTGTGGAGAGGAAAGCTTTGGTACAGGTACTGCGTGTCCGTGCCAAGTAACTAAATCGAAGAAGACGAGGATTCTGATTCTGGGCTTTTGTTTTATGTTTTCTCAACACTGTCAACCTAATTCCACTTCACGCTTCAGGAGGAGACCATATTCGTGAGAAGGATGGGCTTTGGGCTGTGCTGGCATGGCTGTCTATCCTGGCCACCAGAAAGAAGAGTGTGGAAGATTTAGTTAAGGACCACTGGCTAAAATATGGAAGAAACTACTTCACCAGGTGAGATGTGGACACACTAAAAAAACACCGTGTTATTACTGAGGTTATGTGATAACGTTTTTTTATTTTATTTGTTTGCTTATTTGTTTGTTCTAAGAGGCTGAAATATAGTTAAGCAGAAATTGTGTCACTGATACAGATGAAGCTGTAACAGGTGGGTCGACGAGACATGTGAAGACACATGTAGAACATTACTGACACCTAGTGGAACATATGTGGTATTGCACTGTATGACAGAACATTTAACATGAGGATATTATTAGTAGTAATATTAGTATTAGTATTGTCTGTACTGACTCACTTTTGATTACAAAATATTCATTATCAACACAAATTAAGCCACATCACAAAACATATGTAAAATAAGGCATCAATAATCAATAATAAGTACCTGTTAGTTTATTATTTATTTATTTATGTAGCCTTTTTTTTCTCATTAGATTTTTGTTTCTACTCTTTACATTTTGCCCAGGTATGACTACGAGAATGTAGACATAGATGCAGCATGTGAAATGATGGAGGATTTGGAGATCACAATCACCGACAAGACCTTTGTGAGGCAAAGATTTGCTGTGGAAGACAAAATCTACCAGGTGGAGAAAGCAGACAGCTTTGAGTATGCAGACCCGGTAGACGGCACCATTTCCAGGAACCAGGTACATGAAAAACACTGTGGTGCATTTTTCTGTAATGATAGTCTTGCGGTATACACAGATGCATAATGTATGCGATCTGTCAGCATCAGAGCCTCTCAGCTGTGTTTGCAAACCCTAAAAAATGTATCTCAGTCTGCGCTGGGCTGTCTTCACTGCAGGGGCTGCGGATAATCTTCTCTGATGGTTCTCGAATCATCTACAGACTCAGTGGGACCAGTTTTGATGGGGCAACAGTTCAAATCTATCTCGACAGCTACGAGAAAGAACACGTTTTTGGGGATGCACAGGTGGAGTATCTAAAAGTGAAAACTGCATTTTGACCAGAACAGGCAAAAAAGACAAACCTTTGAATCACTAAGCAGAAACTCTTTTTAAATGAAATGTAGCGCTGTGTGGTGAAAAGGAACAGTGTTACTGCTCTGTGGTTGTTTGGATGATTTTACATATGGCAGCAAGGTGCATGAGTCTCTAATTGTGCCATCCTTGTTTTGGACAGGTGATGCTGGCACCCCTTGCCACTATCGCTCTAAAGATTTCTCAGCTTCATCACAGGACCGGTCGAACTGGTCCGTCTGTCATTATATGATTCCTTATTAATTGACAAAATAACGCTCTTTTGTAAGTTTTTCCATCCTGTTTTTTTGTGTTTGTGTTTGTTTTTTATAAAGGAAGTCTCAAATCCAGTTGTAGCTACATATGATGCAAAAGTGTGCAGTTGAATGAAATTAAATGTGATATATTAAACAGCGTTTTTGTTTTTGGTTCGGTTGTGGCATGCTTTGGTGCTTTTTTATGGCAGATGATATTACATCTACTTTACTTTGTTTCAATTTTGCTTTTGTTAACTGTCATTTTCATTCTCACCAGTGAGGCCCTGGCTAAAATCTGCAAGATTACAGAAAGGTCAGCGTTTTTAGTAAAAAAAAATTGAACCTATTTGAGCATAATGTTTTCATAAAGTAGCACTTTCACTTCCTCAGTGAAACTCTTTAAAAAACAGCATCAGCACTGTCTCTTTTTAAAAAATCTTTTTCTTTTTGTACCAGTTATTACTGAAGACTACTTGACATGTGCAGTTGAGAAACTTAGAACATGACAGCAGCAGGTGCTGAGTTTAAAAAGAAGGAACGGGCTGTTTCCTGTCGTTAATCCTCTAAAACCGTCATTTGGATCATGCGTACCCCTTAGTTTAGGGGAATAATAACCTGAAATTGAAGTTGAGTGCGTGGGTGGGTGCTTGAGAGTGAGTGACGGCTTTCCAGCTCGTTTGACTCTGTTGAGTCTGAAAATGACAAAAAGCAACAAGTCAGCATTTAAAGACTGCTCCCAAGAAAACATCTTCTAAAGATCTTTTAGTTTCACTGTGACAAGGGTCCTCTCTTTTTCTTTTTTTCTTCTTTTACTTCACTATCTGTAAGTACAACTTATGCTGATACCTTTTTAGTACACCAACAAAGCAAAAACAACAAAGGAAATTTTTAAACTGCAAGAAAATATTTTTTCAAATAGCTTATCCATATCTGGTGAGTGCACCACATAATTTCCATCTGGACGGCAACAGCACGAGTCCACAAACATCTGCCCCAGTTCTGTGATCACTCATGCCCTTTGAAGTACTGTCCCTTTCTGTCTGGTTTCATCTCCATAATGCACTGAACCTGAAGGGGAACAACAACACAACAAGGGGAAGGCCAGCTGTGGTTCATCTCAGGCCCGTCGTGGTGTGAGTTTTGGTTCCACTAAAAATTTCAGTCTAAGATTGCACAAGTTTACATGCATAGTTACTCTGTGATCAGGATCTGTCCGTCAATAATACAATATTATATTACAGACTGCAAATGGAGGAGGAACTTAACCTATTTAAACCTATTTACATGCATAGTATAAAGGTGCCTAAGAAGCACTAAAAGGTATTTTCATGCCTTTTGTAGATAAGTAAATCCATAACATGGTATTATATTCAAGGGTGTGTCTGGGGTCTAAATATATTGGCTCCTCTGGTGTCTCCACACCAATGCTATTGTAATCTGCAAATCTAGTAATGCCCAACATTGTTGGATGTGAGCATGTATAGGGCCAGAGTACAGAACCTGTACCCGGATATATTATTTGTAAATATAGTGCCTTCATAGTTTCATATTGTTCTTGCAGATTTTAAAGTATGAATCTAATATATGCTGAACTGGACTCCATTGGGGTAACAGCACTGGGCAGCTTGATTGGCATGCCCCCAGAGAACACCAGAACTGACTGGTCTGCCACTGGTGCCCTGTTTGCTTCACAGATGATGTTACAAGCATCACAAGGTTTGTCCTGCCATCTCCAGACTCTTTCACACCTGTCACATGTGCTCAGCATGAACCTGCTCTCATTTGGTGACAGTGATGGACCTGGCAGATCTGTTGTTCTCAGGCAAAGACCGGCTGCATGGTGCTGAGCTGTGAACACAGGTCCCACTAAAGGATGCTGGGGCCTCATACCGTGCTCATGGAGTCTGTTTTTGACAGTTTGGTCAGAAACATGCACATGAGTAGCCTGCTGCAGGTCATTTTATAAGGCTCTGGCAGTGCTCCTGCTGTTTTTCCTCACGCAAAGGAGCAGAAACCAGTCCTGCTGATGGGTTTATGCCATTATACGGGCCTATCCAACTCTCCTTGTGTCACAGCATGGCATCTTATCCACACGCTCTGTTGGGAGATGTAGCAAACTGACTTGCGAAACCACCTACAGACAGTGACAAGAAAACAGATTAAAAAGCAAAACTGCAGAAAAATCAGTCAGAAGGGAAGAGGGCAGGGCTGCGGTCTTTGGCCACTACCTGCAAAACCAGACCCTTTTTGCTGGGATTGCTTTCTTATTGCCTCACTAGTGTACCTGCACAAACAAAGGGGAATGAACTCAGTGCTTTATAACGTTTTTAACTTTTTATTTCTTGTACTGTGATGATCACATGTTCCCTTTTTTTTTTTTAATCAAGCAGTGTATTATACTATATTATTGTGGATAAAGCTCCCCAGCTGTACAGAAGCTGCTGTTCCAGCTCCAGCTGTAAGATTATAGTGACATATGCCATAATAAATTAGTAATTACGATCCAGCAGTATATTTTATATAATTCTGAATAATGTTTAGCTAATTTATAATACTGAAACTTTAGCTCTATTACTTAAGTAGGGTCATGACTTTTACTCAAGTAATAGTAGTTGTTATTCAATAAGGAAAAACTACAAGAAAGTATCTCTTGGGTAAGATAAATAGTCATAAATAATAATAATAATAATAATAATAATAATAATAATAATGATAGACTTGATATACATTTAAAATGTAGGGAAAATTAAAGTAACAAACAATTAAAACACTTGAGTAACGAATAAGTAATGTAGTCTGTATTACTGCAGCAGCTTATATTGTAACACAACACGCAGACGTGTAAAGCCCCCTGGAAGCACGCGCTAAATCCTCTCGTGCTCGTCATTGAGAGACTACGTCACCAGCTAGGACTGTTTGGGTCAACCTTGGTGAATGGTGTGAGGTGAAACTTTTTGCCTGTCAAGATTACAGTATATCGGTAAAGAAGTTCAAGCCCCAGCTAGCCGCAGAGCTACTGTAGCTTTAAGGAGGTCACCTGATGCAAAGAAAGGAAAACCCGACCGAGGAAGCAGGAAGTTCCTGTACGACGACATCGAGCCCGAGCACGTAAACAGTGCACAAAGAGCAGAAATAAACACAAAGAGGGGGTTTTCAGACGTTGACCGCAATGGCAGGCATTAAAGGTATTTTTTAATTTTGGCTCTGCTGGGTCAGCCGAGAGTTGAGTGTTAAAGTTTTTGAAGTTAAAAGTTTGTAAGCTGAGTTTTCCATACTGGTCAAAACGTTTGCTGTATCATCTCGAAACTCGCGTCTCTGTCGCAGGTCATTAAGATCTGTTGCCAGATAAGTTATTAACCTGTTGATTTATGCATTAGAGTTGTTGCTATTATCTAGTGTATCCTAACGCTTAGCTCTGCCACGAGTGCTCCACGCCTACCGTGTATTTGTTTTATATTTTGGCCAAAAACAACTCTGTGATTAATGTAGAGTTATTGATGTCTCGTTTTAGCACTGGTTGGTTTGTCCTTTAGTGGTGCTATTGGACTGACATTTCTTCTGCTGGGCTGTGCAATAGAAACGTATGGGTAAGTTCTCCTTGTAAACGTATCAGCAGCTATACGTGCTATTTTATGACACTGACTTACATTATTACAGAAATAACTGAGTTTTGGTTGTGCTCTGAACAACATCATTCACTCTGCAGTTACATTGTGTGACTTTTGATTGGAGACAAAAGAAAAAGGCCAGATCAATGCAGTCAAGGCCTGTATTTATAGTCCTTATAGTCCTCTTGTTGGTCAAACTCCAGGAATGCCAGTTTCTGATGTGACTGAAGTTACTACTTCCAAACTGGAAATCACCCTAAGAGCCCCAGAACATTTTTCTGTAACTGGTTTCACAGTTTTAGAACTCCTAATGACGAGTAAACTGAACTTCAGGTGTGCTAAGATGTTCCATTCTTTTGAAGATGAGTGTTTCATGTCCTTTGTAAATATTTTTGACAATTTCATCTGTTTTTGCAGGGTCTACTGGCCGATGTTTGTCCTGATTTTCTACATATTAAGTCCCATCCCGACCTTCATATCCAGACGCCTCAGTGACGACTCTGAATCCAGCAGTGCCTGCAGAGAGCTGGCCTATTTCTTAACAACTGGCATTGTGGTATCATCGTTTGGACTACCCATTGTTTTGGCCCGTACCAACACCGTGAGTTCTCTTTACTTATTTAGTTTCAGATCATACTAAATGAGCGTAAATTCATCTGTGCGTACAAGTAGTGCATGTGCAGTGAAAACAAAATTACAGTGGAAATCTAATGGGCCATTTCTGTCGTCCAGATCAAGTGGGGTGCCTGTGGATTGGTGATGACCGGAAACGCCGTCATCTTTCTCACCATCTTAGGCTTTTTTATCGTGTTTGGAGGCGGGGATGACTGGAGCTGGGAGCAGTGGTAAAGTGCCGTTGGAAAGTGGACACACAGATGGGCGGGTGGGTGGGTAGGTGGATCGTTGAACGAACAGACTGCAGACTGAGGGGCACATGTGTCCTACACTCAATGGGGGATGAAGCTATAGTGTAGGCAGCAAAATGTCAAATGAAACCAGCGTGTTGTCATGCTGATTTTTATACTGGGGTGGGGATTAGGTTTGGAGATAACTGTGTGCCCTGTAATGTGCCTTACGTCTGGGACCAGGGAGAAATGAATGTCTGTACCCCTCTTATGTGCCATCAATATCCACATTAACACATATATGATTATTTTCTTCGTCTTGCCTTTGTTTCAGTTGCTGAATCACCCTGCTCACTGCAGCTATTATGCCTCAGTTAATCAATATCCTAAAGGGATCCTAAAGAATAACTATTGTAATGTATACTGCAAAGCTTATACTGCATCATCTGCCTCATTGTTTAAGGGAGGAGTTATAGCTTGCTTATTATTATGAGCACTCTTTGCTAGTACAGAGCAAGTTATAGGACTCTTAATCAGGTGAATATATATTTGTGTTAAGTATGTTGTTTTGCTTTTGTTTTTGTTTGTGTGTTTCATTCCTCAAGCATTTTATTTTTTGTGTTCTGGTGCAATTGTTTACATTTTCACCAAAGATAATTTCTAGACTGCAATTCTACTGGAGCATATTCACCACTAAACTATATTTAAAATAAATAAATAAATGTAACACAGTAACACGATCCTCAAAAGCCAGCCGAGGCGTCTGAAAAATGACTCTTTGTACGATCAGTCCAGAAAAAGTAGCCATTAAACATTATTCTTCTGTACATTACAAAGCAATCCATAATCCTGACAAAATGTTATGGCATAATGAATTAATTTTTTTTTTTGTTTTTTTACTTGTTGAATGGTAAATACTGTACATGTTTGCTATTTTTGTCCTAGTAGGTGCCTTCTCTCGCATACTTCTTCACACACGCCTGCCTTAGACAATGTACCTTTCAAAGGGTCTGGTTGTAATTTGTTTTTCACCATCAGGGCCTGGTGAAATCTTTAACTTTAATTTAACATTTGCATCCTTGCATGTAATGTTCCCATAGTCAGTCAATAACTAATGATGAGCTTTGTTTGATCAGCATGTGTAACGAAACCTGTCACAGAAAGAAATGTTCTCAGAAAATTCCTGATTTCCTAAACATCTGCTACACAGTTGCTTTTCAGAGGGAAATGTTGTATTGTTTGTATGTAACTGACATGTTCAAGTCCATCAACGGGAAGAAAGTGTACGTTCTCTGTTGTGACTGCTATATTCACACTTTAAAGACACTAAGGAGTGCCTAAGAGTTCTGTAAGTTTTTTTATAAGCTCCTGATTGCACTTTTCTAACACTGATTAAAACTCTCTGTGTAGTGAAGCAAATGCACGGGCTCTGTCTGTTCACTGATCATGATTTGATGAGAACTTGATTTGACTTCTGTACATCTCACCTCTTTGTCGCTCCTGATGGCTGATGCATCCAATCAGACACCTGCGCACTGTTTATACAGCAGAGCAGCAGTAGCGGTTGTAGCAAACCCCAGAAAGGGCCTCTCATGAGACAAGAAGTGGAAAAGAAGCTGTGTGGGTGAGTGTTTTGGAATCATTTCCTTCTGGTTGGATTTTGACACAGGTGTGAACAGCTGCTAAATTTGTAATTATCTGTTTATTTATTTATGTTTGCTACTTCATAGTTTGCGTACAAGCTTATAATCCTCACTGAAAAACATATTTCTACTTTCCCTTTCCGCAATTTCCAAACACACAAGCATTAGTAATGAATGCAGACTGGCAACAATGCAAGTTGTGAACAAACCGCATAACAAAGGAGTGATAAAACCCAACATTACCTATTCAGGGTTAAATTGCATGTGACAGAAATCCACCACGCAGCTGCACACCACCTGAGTGGTTTAATTCCATTCTCTGTTCATGTGTGTCAGGATGCGCCGAAGCCGCCTCACCAGTCTGAAATGAGTGCATTTCCTCCACAAAACAAAAGAACCCGCACTCTGCATATGAATTGTTATTGTTTATATGTAAAGCATGCTGCCTGCCTCCACTAATTGCCTTTTATATGAGAGTGGGCACAACATGTATAGTTTATAGTCTAACATCTCTACAAACAGGTTTAGCAGCTGTATCATTGCTGCTGCGTAAAAGTCTCTTCTGAAACGCAATAGCAAAGTTGTGTATGTGCAATGTATAATGTCTTCACTGCATGTTTATGCAAACTTTAAGAACTTGAACACTAGATACTGATTATAGTAAATGTAAATCTGGTTTTGGAAGGCATTAACATGATGAATTCAGCCACCTGTGTGAAACAATGGCAGCAAGTTGCACTACTGAGGCACCCTGCAAAGACTTTTTATAGTCAATTTACGCTAGTGGGTTAGTCTCAGGAATGAAGCAGAGGCCTTAACATGGCTGTAGATAAAAAAAATAAAATAAAATCATTTTGTAAAGAAAAGTTGGGGATTGATTGGTGAGAACTAACAATTTGTTAGAAAGAAGAGCCAAATGCTCCTTCAATTACATCAGTGGGATTAATACCATGTGAATCGTGTCTTCCGACTACAAAGCTGGCACCTTGAAGTGATGCAAGTGTCTGCCCAGGGAGAGAGAGTAAGTGCTGAAGTCAAACTACATCTATACTCAACATAATCTCTCTGAAAGTGAGGCATTGAGAAGAAAAGAAAGATGAAAGGAAAGATGAAGACGAAAAAGATGCCCAGGGACACCCATTCATCTCTCTTTCAGGACAGCTGTTGCCTGGCAACAACCAAGGCATCAAAATCATTCTAAAACACTCCCGAGAATGCCCTTGAACACAACACAATGCAACAGAGTTTTGAGTAACATAACAGCGCAACACACTGTGCAACACGCATACAGTGTTTGTTAATGTGTGATGCTGCAATAAACACTACATGACACTGCCGCTGTGGTGGGTGGCAGTGTCAAAGGCAACACACTGTACAGCTCAGTGCAGACACACAGTCAGCGCAACAGAACCCAGTTAAACGATGCAAGACCAAAAAGAAATGAGTAAAGCATAATGCACTGCACCAAGAGGTAACACAATGTTAACAACAGTGCAGTAACACTGCTGAAGGTAATTCTAACTAGAACAGGCAGATATATATTTAAATACCTACTTTTTCCTGTAGAATAGTGGTTGCCAAAATAAAAAAAAGATTCCCACAAAACAAGAATATTTTTTTCATTACCGTCCTCCATATGGTCTATGGGCCAATGAAATTGATGAGACTGTATTTCTATAGTAGTTTTAGGATAAGAATTGCCCCAAATCGCACCCAATACTGGAATTGTTGGTAAGATCTTAATCAGTTTACAATCATGAGGTTGCCCTTGGAAAACTTTGTTCCTTTTCACAGGTCTGTAACCCGTCTGTAGGCTACATAGACTGAATATAAAAGATGCACATTAGCATTAGCATGTTATGTAGTTAGCATTTTGGCCACCTCCGTATTTATTTTATGTTGTTTGTTTTATGTTGTCACCAGAAGTGTAGTGCTAAATGATCAGCTATCTAGCAGTCTTGGTTAGCATCCATAAACTGTATGAGATTTTCATTCACAAAAAAACTGGAGCACAAACAGATGAATCCACTGAAAATGCTTTAAATGCGAGCAACAGCACAAACACAGTGAAGAGATCTAGCTCAGTGACTCAAAATAGCAAAGCGAGGTCTAGCAGACAGTTGCTGGCTAGCACTGCCTGTGTGAACACAGTCAAAATGTTCACACCCTTAACTTGAAACCAAACTCCAAACAAATGAGTTATTAAAAAAAAAAAAACTGTCTCCCTCCCCTCACCCCAAACCAGTCCCAGCAGATAGCTGTCCCTCTCATAGTCTGGTTTCTTCCTGCTAAAAGGGAGTTTTTCCTTTCCACTGTCCCAAGTGCTTGCTCATAGGGGGTTAGTTTGATTGTTAGCGCCTTGAGGCCATTGTTGTGATTTGGTGTTATAAAAATAAAATTAGAATGGAAACTTCCATCATTTCTATCTAATCTGCTGAAGTTGGGCATTTTAACCTCGGAATCTACGAGGACTGATTCACTTTCAGAGCAAGTCTCAAGATTGAATTGGTGAACTTTCAGTTCTTTGCTCTTCTGCACTGGCTTGTTTTATCTATGTAGCAGCTTTTCAACTTGAGTCAGTTCCAGCTGGCATGGGCAAGAATAATAGATTATAGACAGGTCCATCACATCACTGCATGTAGATAATTATTTTGTATGTGAAACATATAATTAACCTTTTTGATAAAAATAAAATAAATATAAATAGTGTGGATAACTTTCAGTTTAGCTCAGTATCCCTGACCGCTATTTAACAGAAACGATCCGCATATGAGGAAGTTAATGAAAGCCAGAGGGCCAGAGGGACTTGTAGAGCCATTAAATAGTAATCCATATCTTGCGCTGGCAGGAAATCAAATGGACGATGCCGAACAGGCAGCAATAGTGAGGAGCCACAGAGGGCGTGAGCGCTGTAAAGCCATTGGTAAGCGGAAGGATTTGCGTCGTGGATGTTAAAGCCAATCGATGCGCTCGCGAGGTCGTGAAAGGGATCGAGCGCGAATGGCACAAATGGAACCTAATAAAAGGGGGCGCGTGCTCGGAGCGCAGCACAGGAACAGTGCGTACAGTGTGTTGCAGTAGACACGAGCGCGTCGGAAAACGGATAAAGCCTATTGTTGGTAAGAGACCACGTTTAACCGTTTTCTTATAGACAAACTGTCGTTTTCTTTAGCTTCCAGGAAAATAAAGAAAGAAAAAAACTTACCGAGCTTATCATTTGTACACTCAGAGCTTTATGTTGTTTTTCCTCTGTAGCACACAACAATAGCCCACGCGACATTTTTGAAGTTTTGACAAATGTGTGCAGCATCCCTTTAAAATATGTACAGGAAAGGATAATGGAATTAGTTATTTCAGATATTTACGAAAAAAGGAGTTTCAGGACGTTCAGATGACAGGTTTCCGTAATTTGAGCTGTACCGAGGCTATTCTGGGTGGAACACGATCGACACTCGGATGTCTTGAGTTGCACTGAAAGGTCTTTTTTTATTTAGTCATATCACGCAGTTTTCGTGTCTCTGCGCAGACTGCTCCTTATCTCTCCGGTGACTTTTCTTTGTGGGCATCTCCCTTCCTGTTGACAGTCGACTTGTTCAATTTTTTTAGTGTGTGTGTGCGTTACACTAAAAACATTCTTAGATTCTCAGGTTAGACGCACTTTACTGAGTCTAACCTAAGAAATCAAAGTTAGTGATTTCTCTCCTAAACAAGCGAGCTTGATTTATGTCTGAGTTTGTGACAATTGTGTGGGTGGCGAGAAAGGGAGTATTTGTGAACTGTAGATGGTGTGATAGAAAACTTGGATAGACCCACATTAACAAAACCTGTCAACCCATTAAGCAGTGAAGTCAGGGTTGGATGAGGTCAGTCAATTATGGATAGCACTAGTTAGGCTCATTATTTTAACTTGCTCGAAAAATGACGACAATATTCTAGTAATTGATGTGTC